GTGCTAGATGAGCGTTTGGCATATCTGACTTTTTCATCATATCGGTGTTGACATAAATATCCTCTTCTGATGTGCAGGACACCTGAAATTAAAAATAACAAAAACCACAAGTGGTAAAGATGTTCTGTTAGATTATTGTTTCCCAAATTAGGAAATGGTCCATACCTTATTTCCATTTTCAGTTGTCAGGCCTTGACTCATCACAGCTGGGCTGGTGTCACCTGTGCTCTGACTCTTTTTAGGAGTATGGCAGCCAGTCCCCCGAGCTCTACAAAATAATAAAATCCTTGGTGTATTGCAAGGTAAATGTCCAGTGGAAACAAATTCAGCCAATAAATGATGATGTACAGTACAGTCACGATGTATCGTCATTGCATTGGCCACTGAAAGCTGTCTTTGTTAGCTTATAACATGTTTATGCACAGAGGTCTGTTACCAGAGCTCTTCCAAGAGCACAGAGCTGTAATATTAGTTGTTTAAAACTCTATTTCTATTGTCTGGTGTGTTCTCAGTTATTAAATCCATGGTCTTCCTCAGTTCAAGGATTGACTGCCCCTCTTTTAATGACGTCTCAATGAACTAACTCCCAATAGAAGTGGATGGAAAAGAACAAACATTTACATTTTCTTTTGCTGATTTTCTGAAAATTTGGTTAAAATTTGCACTACATTTGGATGGAAACCCTACCTTGACAAGGCTGGCTGCTAGTGCTGACATCAGAGGCTGTGCAAGCTCAGGCCTCAGGCTTCGCAGCTAAATGCTTTGTATTGAGGTGATATTTCAGGCTTGCAGTTCTCTGGTAGTACAAATATTCCAACAGTGCTCCTAGCAGCAGTTCCATCTGGGTGTTTTTTAAATATAAATGTTCTATTCATGGGGCCAAGCAGTATCGTCTAGTCTGCCTCCATCATGTGACAAAGCCACTGTAGCCGTCAATGATGCACCGGGTCAAAGGGCACCACGAAATGTGATTAATTGGCGTTCATCTTTTGACCGCATTATTTTTTCTGTGATTAATTAATCTAAATTAACGCATTATTTTTGCCAGCCCTATTAGTAGTACATACATGTTGTCCCAAGCTGTTACCTACCTGATAGCAAACAGAAGAGCACAGAATAGTGCTGCTGATAAAACACCAACTGTGATGATGAAGACTGGAAACGTAACTCCACCTGGACATTCTGTATGAGAGAGAACAGAAGAGTATGGTGGTCAGTCAGAAGCATAAATATATTGTTTTGTTTTTATTTTGGTGGTGTATACACTTGGACATACATGAAGAATGAGCTGTATTTATAGGCATATTAAACACAAGTCTTAAATTATAATGTATTACATCACATATTGGTACAGTATATAAAAGTATTACAGAAGATGAATAAAATGTTATGTGATTCATTTATATTTGTTATCAGTAGTTTAAACATGGGCCTTTATTTTGTGCAGGTTGAAACAACAAGACTGTGATTGTCTTATAAATGTTAATGTTATTAGTAATCAATATGTTTGGTTTGGGTTTGTAAGTTTGACAAACCCAACAAAGCATGAGGGATGAAGCTAGAAGCTGAAACCAAGCTTGTAACTAACTGACACATCCCTTGCATGCATTTCCACTACAGTATGCAAAACTGTTGGGAGCCTAGTCTGGAAATTAAAAAAAAAAAAACACTAAACAGATATACTGTGCAGAAATTGAAGTGTGGTGATGTCTTCCAGATCAAGTCCATCAGTATTTCAAGAGATGGTGACAGTTTACAACTAATCAATAAAACTTGTTTTCGTCACAAAGACAGACCTTGACATTCTCTGCAACCTTGTTCAGTCTGGAGGCAGTAGGCACAAAAGTGGTGAGAAGCAGATCCCAGAGAGTTAGAGGTGCGGCAGAGCAAAGTGGAAAGATCCCTCTCCTGTGGTTGGTTCACAGTGATGATGCTCCTCAGGCCCGTGTCATTTGGATGCTCATAGGTGATGGTCAAATCGTCTGAGTTATTGACAGGTGACCTGTCCAAATACCACATTAAAGTGGGAGAAGGGTTTCCCACAGTCAGAGTTAAGTGTAAGTAAATGGATGTTAAAATATACCTGTGACTGAAATAGAGGTTGCATTGAGAAAATTATATCTCACGCCTCTGCATTCCAGCCTGAAGGAATACTTGTTGTCAACAGGTTGTATGTTGTTCAGGGTTGTGGTGCAGTCTTTTTTGGTCAAGTTTCCTGTCAGTTGTCCGTTGTTTGTAGTTGTTTGTGTCTTGCTGCTATCAAACACAAAAACTCCATCTTTTCTCCATAGTGCTTTACATGTGTTGTCTAGCTTCGATACAAACTGGTCTGCAACGTCAAAGGAGCAGGGGATGGTCACACAGGATCCACTAACAACCTCTATAGTCTGTGGTATTATGGCCTTAAACTCTCCACACAGGGCACCTGAAACACAAGATACAAATCTTTGAATAAAAACAAGTGAATAATTTTAATGAGGATTTTTTTACTGTTTACTGGTTGCCTTAGCGCTATACCTTTTTCTTAGAATAAACCAAAATGATGACTGTAAAGATTGTGCCTTGTCCCCACAGTAGTTTTTCCCCCAGATGTTCAGATTAAAACCCGTCAAATTAAAGTTCCAAGAAAAGACCAGCTGGACGCTTTTGTTGCTCACTGTTTTTTAATTTTCTGCAGTATATATTACAGGTACTGTTGTATTGTGGTGTGAATGCTTGACTTCAATACTGACTAAACGACTCACCTTGCAGCACCGAGCCAATGAGAAGGAGAGTCAGAGCTGCAGCCATCTTTGTGTGTCAGGAGAGGCAGAAACTCTGGAGATTTTACATAGAACAATTCACATTACTGTGTTTAATCTCTAATTATTTCAGGTTTGTAGAG